TTAGAGATTTTTGTTGTCGCCTTCTGAAATTGGCAATCATGAACGGTGTCGGCAGTAAAGTCAGAAGTAGGTGCCCTTTAGTTATTTCTCTCCTCAAAAGTGTGGTTCTGCCTTGTGGCTCTTTTCAAATCTCATCACAAAATCTTTTTCTCTTGTGCCTGAATGGTTTGATTTTTCTTTCAAGTTAGAGGTCTCCTAGAGAAAGGCTTTGAAGTACAATCAGATCCAAATTTCAAAAGTGAAGATGTGTTTTACTGATCTAAAGAAAGGAATTGCGTTTGCAAATGCTAATATTTGCCTAGTGCCCTTTCCAAAAAGTAAGATTTGCCCACATGGATCAGTCTAAATGTGTGTTTTGCAGCTGAAATTTAATATTGAGGTTATAAAAGACCTACTAACATACAGATCCTATGTAAGCTTCTCACATATAACATTTGACTTCTGTCTTTTCTTTTTCATCAAGTTCATAAGAAATGTTAGAAATTTGAGTTAGAAAATTTACCGTAGTCTCTAGGTCCAGATTTAAAAAAAAAATTGCTAGCCTATATATTTCTGAGTATACTTAACATTTTCCCATACTAGAGATTATAACAAATAAAATTCAAAGACTTTCAAAAATATAAATGAGGGGAGGGTTTGTTTCTACTATGAACGGTATTTTTCTGATGAATTTGTGCTCTTTGGCGAAGGAAATTGAGGTTAGAAGAATCTACTTACAAAAGGTTAGGAAAGGCTTCCTAACCTTTGGGAGATCTGGGACAGAGTTCCTATACATAATGTGTCTATTACTTTTTATTTTTTTCTGGGCAAAAGGCCCATACTTGCATTGGATTGCAAAGGGGTCCGTGTTTAAAAAAATAAAATTTACTATTCAAATCATTCACAACTCACAAATCTCTACCCCCCATTTTCTTTAAAATATTTAGGGATGTACACATATGTGGTTTCCATGATGGTTTTCCATTTCCTGATCTCATTCTCTGCTCCAGGCAGGACAATATCAGCCCCATATAGAGGTATATAGATTTGTGCTTCCAAGAGAAGAGAAACATTTCTCCTTGTAACCGTACTGGTTATTATGAGCTTTGTGTTCCCTATGAATATGCATATATGTATACACACATATATATATATACATATAAATATATATACACACACACATAAATATACATAAATACATGTATGTATATAGAGGCATGTGTACTTAGAGATGCCTTTGTGTATTTAAGCACGTGTGTATACATTTGTCTGCATGTAGTATATATATAAATGCACATGTGTGTGTTTATATGTATTTATATGTGTGTATACATGTATGCTTATCTATAGAGGCAGATATGTGTGTATATTTACATATTTGCATATCTATATATGTGTATATGTCTATATATGTGTATATATCTATCCAGGTATATGTGTGCATGTATATTATATATGTGTCTATATAGTATATGTGTATATCGATGTGTGTACATAAGTGTATGTATGTGTGCACGTATATACGTGTATATATGTACATATGCATGTATGTATATGCAATATATGTGCCTTTCTGTATCCGTGTATGTGTATGTGATTATTACACTTTTCAAGCAAGAACCTTGTGTTCCGAGTGATGCTGCAGACACTTAAGGAGACGAGCTGTGTTGTTCAGAGGAAAGAATCAGCTTCCTTCTCCTGAGCAAGGCTGAAAGAAGAGCCAGGCAGGAGAAGCCTTGGCAAACTCCGCCCTGGAGCTTCTGGCTTCCCTCACACCACAGTTTCGTAGGTGAGTCTTCCATCAGTGACTTTCCAGTCAAGTGAGTAGAGGTCAAATGATTTTTTTCTTAGTGTTTTAAATCATAAACGTCTGGACTGTTTTCATTTTGTCAGGTAGCAAGTGGAAGGCCAATGTTCGACTATGGCTGTCCCGTCTTGCTTTGGCTGAGACCTGCTGCTGGCAGGAAAGAGCAGAATTGGTGAAGGTTTCAGTTTCGTCATCAGTTTTTCTTGCTAGAGCGTGATGTCCTATTTTCCTTGCCCAGACCACCTCATTCCTCAGAAACTTTGAGGAAACGTGTTATTAAGCAGCTGTGAAATGTGCTGCTGCTTTCGTTGAGAGCAGAAAGGGAAAACAGTTAGAGCCTTCTTTCCCTACCCATTGGCTCATGGATGCTGATAAAAGACATCAGTCGATTTTCTATATTGCTTTTTCTAATTCTTAATACTTTTACTGGTTTTTTGAATTTGAAAAGAAACGTTTGTTTTCTTTTTAATTTTACACGTTGAGTATACAATGGATGATCTCCCTGTCACTTAATTATAAGTCTATCCTCAACCATTAAATTGTGAATGACTTTGTTTAATAGCTTGATAAGTTATTCACGACATCTTTAACAAACTCTCTGTGGGCTGGGTGGGAATACTTTTCATTTTCTAGTGTGTTAGTTTTGGCAGTGTTAAAACTTTTTTCTGCATAGTTGATCATAGACAGATACTGTTTTAAAGCTGTCTAATCTCCCTTAAGCCATAGTAAAACTTATATAGTTATATTTCTAAATAAAGTCCTTAAATCAATTCTTTATTGTTTCAAGCAATAAAATTTGAGGTGTGGAAAATCAAGATAGAAAGTGATATCTAAAATTTCTAGATAATAATTTTACTGTTTCATTAGATAATATTGAAAGAATCCTACCCCTTCTATTCTGCTACCTCTATGGCTTAGTTCAAGAAGAGTATAATTTTTAATGGAAAAAATATTGAAGGCTTTAAATAATTTTATAACTTCAAGAACACGATGGGTGGGGAATACATTTGGGTTTCGAGGATAATCTAAAAAGATTTAAAAACAGAGCTTTTTGCACACTGTGTTTTTAGACAGGGTAAGCATTTGCTCTTATAATATTATTGACTGTGTTTAAGCTGGTGTGAATTTTCATAGTGATTCTGAAAACAAAAAGTGTAGAATTATTACTACCATTAAAGAAATAATGATAGTGTTCAAAACTGTAATAATTAATTACCTATTGCAAACCCCCTCTTGACCCCCAGTTGTGTTAACATCACCATTATCTTTATCACCCTAGTCACCATGACATAATTTGCCTCTTCTCCTTCAGTCCCCAAGCCCACTCTGTCATCAAGCTCAGCTTCACCTTTGCTTTGGTATGTAGAGTCCTTTGCCCATGATGCTAGTTTTAAATTCATTATCACTTTGCCGGTTGTAGCATCCTCCTCCCTATCTATGCTCTATGCTTCTCTAGCTTCTCCTCTCTTTATCAACCACCCTGTCAACTACTTAGCTGAAAATCTTCCTAATGCTCAAACCATCATCAGGCCACTCTCATGAACAGCAGTTGTAATTGGTGCCGTGCAATCATCTCTAATTAACTCAGTTTGACAAACATGCATTAGCTGAGTGTCTGTCATATGCCATGCACTATGCTGGAATTTGGGGGGGATCCCTGCCTATGGAAAGTTTTTAGTCTAAAGAAGGAGGATGATAAGGAGGAGATTATAATATTGCAGTAGAGCGCATTAAAGACTATAAGAGAAGGAAGAAAAAAGAGCTGTGGCATATTAGAGGAGGTGCCAACCAACTCAGTTGGGTGCAGGCAGGGAAGATTCCACACAATCAGTAACAGCAGGGATGGATCTTGAAGATGAGTAACTTAATACCCATACTTCTTTG